AAAAAAAAAAAAAAAAAAAAACAGAGGTTAGGTAAGGGTGACCCCAAATGTCACTGTCAACGAAAGAATGAATATATTGGTCTTTACAAATTGTGTAGAATATTGAGGTAAGGAATTTCAAGCGACGGGGGATAACGCAGAGTAGGCCTACGGTAAATACGCGATACACGGTAAAGCAGGAGGTAGGCCTAGGCCTAATCCTCGGCCCGTAGCTCCAGTTCTAAGCTGGTGGTACAATTAAAGATTACCAGTAGTGGGTGGCGTCAAACCTTCAGCCTCGAGGTTGCCATATATATATATATATATATATATATATATATATAATCATTGGCATATCCAAAATTTTGCTAAGGCCGGGGGCCGGAGAGCGGGCGGGGGAGAGGGGATAGAAATATGTCCACGTTCAGCTCGGCACTGGCCTATATAAAAGTAGACGAGAATAATTTGACAACAAAAAATAGGACACAGGGAAGGAAATTTTTTTCTCCATGCTTTAGTAATTGAGGGAAGGCAGAAGGTTGAGAAGGTGATGAAGGGGGGGCAGGCGGGGGGGGGCAGTGCTCCGAGGGGGGCCAGGGGGGCGTCCCTAAGCTCGGTACAGTGTACTTGCTGTCCGACCCCTGTATCAGCCAGTGATAACTGTTTCAATGATTAAATACTGTTTTACAGTTAGGCCAATATCGAATAAAAACATCTCATTTTTTTATCTTACGCTGGCCACTGCCTCATGAAACGCAGCTGATATTTAAATATTATGTACAATGCAAAAGAATATACGACCCCACCCTTAACACATGCATCTTTATTAAGAAGCTATTTGTCCGTGGGTTAAAACTCGCGACAGGTGAATCTTTGTGGTTTCAAATATCGCAAAGTCGGTCAGAGTGTATATTTTGGAGTTAAAATCACCACAAAACCAAGACTGCTACTCAGTAATATAACCACAATATTATTCAGAAGCTAGATTTACAAAGGCAATTACGCAACAAGAGAAAGTGTGTTTACTTTATATAATCCATATTATAGAAGTCATGCTTTGGGGGCGCTATTTAAGTTTTGAAAATATGTGAAACATTTAAAAGAAATACCGCCTTATTTTATCCCAACAAAGTATTTTACATCAGTACCCGGTATGTGTGAACATTACTGTTGCCTCCATATAAGCATCACCATGTTCCAATCGATGAGGCGGCCTTTGCCTGCTGCAGGGTGTGTCTAGTTATTAGTGAAAAGTTTACAGCGGAATGATTATGGATATATGACACCGAAGTTAACAGTACTTACCTGACAAGACCGTAGTGTGATGTAGCACAGACTTAACAGTAGCAGAACCCGCGTCTCTTTCATTCTGCCGGACATAAATTGAAGTTGAGCAGTTCAGTTAGTCCTTCCTAACTTCCTCCACCTCTCCTACTCTTACTTCCTCCTCTCTCACTTTATCTGTTTCTGTTCAACGGATAGGGCCTAAAACTTGGGCGTCTACGACTTAAAAGTAACCCCTTTTTTACAAAGGGCCTACAGTACAAGTGCTCTCCTTGAAACACCTGACTGGTTACGCCCATGTGCTGGGAAACAGTGGTGTTAACCTCCGTGGCTCACACCCAAGACCAGCTGACACGTCCCAGCTAAAGACCCAATATGAACCGTGCGCTTTAGCGCGAACAGGTAAAAATCTATTGTTTGGCGTGTATATCAAACACAAAAGCACAGCCGATGTCACGATCGATCCGTGATAGTAAGGTTTGGCCTCAAAGGTTTGCCTTTGGTGAATAGCGCTATTTTACGGGTTTGAATAAACACCTTTTACAAATACTAGTCACGAGATTCCAAAAAATGTAACCCGCAATAGTAATATGCTTTAAAGGATGTAGAGCTATTAACCTGAGAGTTGGAGAAGGATTCATTCTTTATTCATGTCAAATAGTATTGCAGCTCACTAGGTGAGGGATGAAAATGTTTGCTTTAATTGTTTTTTTGGTTCTTATTTACTTCCACGGTTTGCAGTTCGCGCAATCACGAAGGCTTATTATGTGTAGGCTATTCTATTCCAAAACAAGGACATTTTATAAAGAGCCAAGATTATTAATGCAAAGTAAGGTAGAACACATTAACCAAAGCACTGTGTTGTGAAAAAGAACTACAACAACATCTGCTTACCTTGGACACTTTGAGTCACGCAAAAAAAAAAAAAAAAAAAAAAAAAAAAAAAAAAAAAAAAAAAAAGAAGAGAGAGAGAGAGAGAGAGAGAAAGCCAGTGTTTGTAAGTTTCAGCTAATACCACTGAAACTTCTTTTCCTCGAGATTTATTCGAGACAAACGATAATTCCAATTATAATGTGACAAGTTACGTAGAGTCATCAGAAGTCTAAAACTAATCCCAAAATTCATAAAATTTGCCTTTTCTTATAAACACTATGGTGTGCAAGCACAGACTGTTTTAGCATTTGTATATAGATGTTAATTATTTAATCCATGTATGAGCTAAGAGAAGTTAAGAAGTATCGGACATAGATCCTATCTGCTGACATAAAATCGAAGCGCACGCGAGTTACAGGCCGGTAATCTGGCCTCAATTAAACAATTTGTCTTCAAGGCTGCTTATTACGATCTTGTCTCGTGCAGTGGCGGTCATATTACTACTGTCTGGGGCAGGGCGTGGACCGTAAACGCTAACCGGGATCAAATGTCTCCGTACAGTGTCACTGAGCTTATTATTTCTCAAGCTAGATGGTCTAAATCTATACTTGCATTTAAGTTTGTCCCTCATTTTTCTTGCTGTGTCTTTTTTGTTTGTTTTTCATGAAATAATTCGAAATTAAAGTATTATTTTAATGATTGATTAAAATCAATTCAGTAACACGTTGGTCGTTTATAAATCTAAAATTTCTATTCAGTGGCAGCCACTCTTCAACCTTTTTGTCATCCCTGGTGAAATCTACAATACAGTGTCGCTCCTAACCTTAAAGAGGTGAATTGTGACTTCAGTGTGCTTTTGCTTTACTATACGGTGCGTAATTTATTATAATAACCCCTTTCAATGAAAGTATTTTTTGTCAACGCCCATTCTGCTTCGGAGATGATATTGCCTCGAGGACAAAGGTTCAACATGATATACTCCCCAACAACATCAGTAACGGAGAATTTATTTTTGGTGCTACGTTAACATGCCGTAGTCTCCAATAGCTTATTTACCGTCTTCGATACATTTTATGAAATAGTATCATGTGAAAATTATCGAGAAAATATTAATTAAAATATAATACTTATTTTGATATTGACCTCATTTCAATTCATGTTTCTAAATATATACCTCAAAGCGAAAAAATGCAAACTTGTTTGTCCAAAAGGCTCCAATAGAGCGTTAAGCCACGCATCCTTTGTTAGTTCATGTAAGTGGACACCATCGGGTTACGAGGACGCCGGGCTGTAATAATAACTTCAGGATTTCGACGAGGTCAACCATATAGTAATGACAAGTGCTTTCACATATTGTTCAGTGAGATAAGAAAAGCTGGCTTCCTGGTCTGAAGTTAAAAGCTAGTCGTAATCCTGAAGGCAAGGCCCATAGTGATAGAGACAGTGTGTGTGTGTGTGTGTGTGTGTGTGTGTGTGTGTGTGTGGAGGGGGGGGGGGGGGTTACATGCACCACCACGTGGTGGGTCTAGCTTCTAAAGGTCTGTCTGTCGATTTTGCAACTGCGAGAATATATAATCCCTCTTCTTTATTATGAAATGCAAAATATAAAAGCAGGAGAAAATGCCACGTTGATTGCTTCTGCAATCTTTCACAGATTAATCAGTCCTTCTTTTATCTTTTTTTGTTTTTAACTTAATCATGTTGTAATGCGACACCATTAAGTAGAATTAGATGGAGTTTCGTTGAATTAATTATGATACATGAAGAAGTCCAGGCTCGATGGTTGTAATTTTTTTTAGTAAACGGTATGTCTACCCTTACCAAAACAGCTAGGCCTACCGAAAACTTTTGGCAAATTTGCATCAAATTTGCAAAACTCATTTTTCTTTTTAATTTTTTGCATGCATTTTGAAGGGGTTTGCCTATACCGGGTAAGTGTCCAACTGTATTTATTTTCTTCAGTTTTATCAATTTATTTATTTATTTATTTTAAATAAACTAGCAATGCATTTTTCTTTTCAGTGTTTTTAATTTGCCTGCTTTGCTGTCAAGTTTCATAAATAGCAACGAACTCAAAGAATGCAGTCTTTAAATTAATATATTCATTTAAAAAGCTTTCAGAAAAATAACTGCCCACACTGGGCTTCAGGTTTCAATGATATGCTACTCTGTAAATTGTGACTGTTTTACAAATGTTTTATAAAAAATATTTTCTCATATACTTTTACCAATATTTAATAACTTGTAAAAATTTGAAAAACTTAACAAATTAAAATTAGAATATTACTAAGAATATTATTCATGAATGTTATTTGTAAGTTAAAAATCTGCCACAAGCATATACAGGCAGTTAACTTTTAGAATTACTTTCTTACATTATATTATACAGTGTAAGACCCCATTTCCAGAGATTAGATCGATCTACAAACAGTATACAATAAAATTGTACAGAAACCTTTGATATACACCACATAATTGAAGTGAACATAAAACTGCTGAAAACTCCAAACAGTGCAATACAACTATATTTGTGAAGATATATCAGATTATCATCTACGCATGAAAAACCTTTCTGCAATAATTGAATGTCAAGGGCAGCTTTACCATGTAGAATACCAACTGGCCATTCCCTATAAGATTGCAGGCAATCATTGCAGAACTCTACTTCAAATTGTATCTCATTCCACCTCAAATATATAATACAAGTGTTGGATAAGATAATCTAAGTGAAACATTAAAATGACCTCCCATCTGTATCTGTGTGAAATAAGTCATCACATTTATAACTCAACATTAAGTCATCCTTTCCTTTACTTTTTGCCTATGCATTGTGATTCTGTTAACAGCTATCAGTTCCTCCTTTTCGTTAATTTGGATAAGGTGATAATTGCAGTCAGCATTTGTATCAAATGTTATTTCTGTTCTATAGCATAATCCTCAAGGTAAATTTCAACTTAGTTTGGTTTAATTAAAAAAAATACCATTTTGGCAAATTGCCATTGTAGCTGAGAGAAAAAACTTCAAACATGGCCAGTTATATGTATATGATGAAAAGTAAGATTATTGACTGTATCTGCTTAATGTGCCTTCAAATGCAGGGTCTTCTGGTACAGGGGTGAATCCAGTGATATTTTCTGACAGTCTTCCAAATTATCTTCCTCCATTTTTGGCTGTCTTCAGATAGAAAAAAATTAGATACCCATCAATTTAAACTTGGAAATCTGATCATCTTCTGGAAGACCCAGAAGACTGCCTCAATCCACCCCTCTGGTATGTGGGGTTGGGTAATCCAACATGGCCGAGGATGTTAGTGCTGCTCTGGTATCATACAGTAGTCATTTTCTTCTACTGGTAATGGTATCTCATATCCATCAAAAGAGGCATTGTAATATCTACCTTGTTCAGAGCCATGAGAAAAATATTCAGAACCATGAGAAAAATATTCATCTCTTGAGGTTGTTGATACGGCATCCTGAGGTTTTCCAGTTTTTCTGACTTTTCTGGGAAATTTAAAGATAATAATTTTTAAAAAAGAAATTAAAAAATTAAAAAATAATAATAACCAAGCATAGGTCAATTAAAGTATAGAGCGCTGTTAACATTAACTGTGAGTACATGCATGTCAAATGAGCTGATTGTTAATTTTGCCATTAAATTGTACTTCATTTTATTCATACACCAATTTTACTTACAAGCAGTAGTAAGAGATGCCAAATATCCCCAGTATTATAAGTAGGACTGTAAAGCTTATACTCAGGCCAACTACTGCTTCAAATGAGAGTTGTGACGGCAGGTCTGCAAAGACAAGGCAGAGGACATTATTAACAGAGGTTCAGGCTACTCCAATAATATTGTCAACAATTTTGATATCATAATTATCAACATCAGTAATTTTAAATAAAACTTGGACATAATATTCGTTATTATGTCCAAGAATAAAATTACTGATTTTGTGTGTAGCTATGAGTATTTAAGTACAGAAAATTATTATCTAATCTGTATTCTTATTAGTTAAGTTTGGTATAAATAACTATCAAAATACACCAGTATATAATTCAAATACCACATTACCTGAATGGATGTGACAGAACTCCCCCTCATAGTTGGGGTTACATATACACTCAGGCTGGCCAGTGGTCTTCAGCTGACAGGTGCCCTGGCCACAGTACTTGGTGGGTAGACTGTCATTACACAGGCCTGGAATAATATAGTACAGCATTGTACAGTACAGGTACATGTGTGTGTGTGTGTGATTGGTTGTGAGTGCAACACTATTCTCAATACACCCAATTTTTTCTATTTTTCATAAAATTAAACAAAAATATCATATTTGAATAAAATTGAATTTTTAATGTTCCATAAAAGTGATTCAAACAAACACACACACACAATTACCTTTAATTCTGTACTGAAAACTACATACCTGGCATAAATAAAGAAAACAATTNCTCTGGTCCTGATAAGTCCCCACTGGACACACAGCACATGTGTTGTTCACTTTCTTGGTCCCTGGTGGACAGACCACTGAGGCAGAAATTAAATAGAGGATCAGAGTGGTAATACCACTTCCAGATATTGTACCACCAGCAATATTAAACACATTCAAGTTCAATGGTAGCTAGTTGAATAAGACTCAAATGTGAAGATAAACTGCATTTTTCAGGTCACATTGACTTTTTTAGAGTTTTCAAGTAACTTTTCCCATATTGCCTTTGGATTGAGAAATATTTAGCATTTAATTTTCATAAATTCTGACAAGGGTGATTGCAACAAGAGTACGTCATACAGGAGAAGTGGTAACAGTGACTTGAAACCACATGAAGAACTACCAGTGGTACATGTACTAATAATACCTGGTTTACTGTTGATATAAAACTGAAGACAAACTACAGGATTGTATTGGCTTTGAGGGTAACTGGCTCAAATATGAGGTAAAACACAAAAATTTCACAACTGTGGTTTAGTAGGGTGTTTAATTTCATTATCTAACTTACCAATACAATAAGTGTTATTAACAGCACCCACAGCCAGAGTGGTCCGGCCAGGTGGACATGGGTTGCAGCTAAACTGACCATTTCCACTCTGATACTGACCAATGGGACAGTCTTCACACTGGGCAGTGTTGTTATTGTAGAAGGTTCCAACTGTACATTGCACTATATATCAAATAAAATGGATGTTATTATAACCAGACATCAAATATCAACCATACAGACAAAAAACAAAGGGAATCAGAAAAAGATTTTTAAACTCGACCCATTTTATTTAAAATTTGAAATCAAGGTCTCTTGCAAATATGAAGCAAAACAAAATTGCAGGGAAAAATAATCATATGACTTTCGTAAAAAATATCACTAAACTTTTCATTAACTCACCACACTGTGTGCCAAGTACTTGAAAGCCTTCATTACATATAGACTTAACATCTATGATGCTGTCAGATGTATCAGTGGAAGACCCAGCAGCAATCTAAAATGTAATTTGCTACATGTACGTAATTATCCTTTAAAAGTAACAATTGTTTTTTTTTTTTTTTTTTAACAAAAAATACAACGATGAACTTTAAAAAGTTCATCAGTATGGTAAGTGCATGTCTGAGAGTTTCTTGTTTTAACAAACAATCTGTCATACATGTACCAGTGGTTCACTAACTTACCCCACTTATTTCAAACACTCCATCTTGCAGCAAGGCTTGAGTTATGATGTCAACTGCAGTAGCATTACCAGAGCCACTTACATTGTACAGTGTTTCACTGGAATTGAAAATTATCAAAAAGACATGAAGCATGTACAGTGTATCATCACATATCAGCACACACCACTATTACATTATGTTTTTCTCAATCTTATTCAATTTTCACCAACGAATAGTTTCCTGCAAAGTAAAAGGCTATTTTGTTCATAATTATATCTAATTTCAGAAAGCAGAGCTCAAAATAATTATCTTTACACTATGATATGTTTTTACATATCATACTGTACTGTGAGACTATAAAAATCAAACCATACAATACAGCAATAGACATAGTGAGCCTACTTTGCATTTTCAATGGTAAACTCCACAGTAGCCACTTCTCCTGTTGCCCTCTTTCTTCTCTTTGCTGTTGAACTATTACATGAAGTGATGACTATTTTTACATTCCGGCATGAAGGAGTGCAGAATCCTTGCCACGTGTTTGCCAGGGTGATGAAGCCAGCTCTGAAGTAACCTAACAGGATACTCATGCGTGGTCCATCATTACAGTCTACAAATCCACTCAGGTTCAATTTTATTCTAAAATGGATCTGAATTTTTCTCAATTCTATAACTGAAAAAAAAAAAAAATTAAAAGATAATATTTTGAATCACCTATATTTCATTTTCTTTTTTTTTTTAAATCCAATTATTTTAATCAGTTCTTAGATTTAAACTTTAGAAAATATTTGTATAAACTGAAATATTTTATATTACTTTTTTCTCTTTTCATTAAATATGTCATCTGTTCTTTTCTGCAATTCAAATTCAAATTGCTCTTATCAACTATGAATTGATTTGAGGAATGATTTTTTACAAAATCTCATGATGATAAGTGAAGGCAAGTTGTGTTGCTCAAATGATGAAAAATCTAAATTTAATCTTATAGACAAATTTCAAAATTAAAAAGATTGATTATGTCAACATTCAACATCCAGATCAATTTATCAAAATGCAATCAAAATTGGTTTCAGTGCAGTATTTTCCATCAGGAATGTTCATACATTGTGGATATATCCCTAGTCAACATCCAATCTCCCAAGGCCTACCTCCACAAGCAGGGTAGATGAATTTCCCTAGTGGGTTTTTAGGATTCCAGACACCAGAGGGCCCACAGGTGTAGCCCATCTTGGGCACAGGTTTAAGGAAGGCGTGGCCAGGGTCACAGGCCACCATACAGGTCTTATACTGGCCATCTGCACTGGAGCTACAGTTCTGGTAGCCTTTACGTGGGGCATCAGGGGTTGTACAGTCATCAGCTGAAATTGTATTAAATCATCATCCTACATTACTGTCTCTGTAGTTTGAATTAATTGGCCTTGCAATCGAGTTGACAGATACAGAGAATGATGTTCTAAACTCATACAATTTTGAAAAATTCAACAAAGATACAAGATTGTTCCAGATATCTAGATGACTCAGGTAGCACTGAAAACCCTTTATACCTCTTGGTGTTTATATATGGGCTCTTTTTTTCAACTTCAAACTATCTTCAAATGTGAAATAGAATAGCTTTATTATATAAATTTAATATAAGAAATGGCCCCTTTGTGAATTTTTCTAAAGAAATTAAGACTTACATTTCACATAATAACTGAAGCCACAGTTGACAGAGTCTCCCTTAGAATCACAGGCAGAATAGACAACTTCATATTTGCCCCAAGTGAAGGTTGAACCTTATCAACAATGAGAAACACATTCAGCAATCTAAATACAAAATGATGATATTACATTTGTTACATTTAGAAAATCTAATTCAAAAGATAAAATTTGATTTGTTTGACATCATGAAATATATAAATCAATAAATTACATGCATTATGCAAATTTTAGAACAAATACATGAAACCAATATTTTGCACTACATCAGAAGGTTCATATACATGTAGTAAACAAGTCATATTTTTCACCATGTTTTAGTCCCTTACTTCTGTTGTAGTTAGAGATAACAGTACTGGGCAGATGACCCTGGAATGTTGGTTCCTGCCAGTTCCCCTCCACTGTCCTCTGTCTGCTGACCACCTGCTGATCTGCTGGACATGTGGACACTGCAAGCTGGACACCACCTGGGTAACAGAAACTGGACTACAGTACTGGGCTAAAATCCATGGTAAATTCAAATAAATTCATTCTATAAGTAGTAATTCAGGGACACAATATACAAAAAGAACATTATGTGCTATATATACTATAGATTTTAAACAACATGCCAAGAAAAATAAAACCTCTCTCAAAATTTATTTCAAGACATGGCTTTGTATTGGTACTATCATAAAAAGCAGAGAAACAAATGAGGAAAATGAAACAACTTACTGGGTAGTGGATATTCTTGAGTAATGTTGCTGGGCCAGATTTTCTCAACTGATCCCTGTAGCTTGAATTCAACTGGCCTTGCAATCAAGTGAACAGATACAGAAAATGTTGTCCTAAACTCATACAATTTAGAAAGATCTGACAAAGATACAAGACTGCTCCAGACATCTAGACGACTCAAGCAGCCTTGAAAACCCTCCGTCCCTCCATCCACATAGCCTTCAGTACTTCCTACTACGATCCAACCACTGGAATGGGTAAGATTGAATACTTTGCAAGTTTTTTTTTTCTTTTTTTTTTTTGACAGCTATAACAGATGTTGTGAAATAGAACTACTTCATGATGAGGACTCGCTAATAATTCCTGATTCACTTTCGTTAAGTTAGGTTTTAGTGAAAAGAAGTCCTATGATTGAGTACTCTCTTCTTAAGATATAAAGAAACACTGTTAATAGTGTTTCTCAGCACTAGTAAGTATTGAAATCAGTAGTGAAGCCCTGACTGTAGCAAGAATGTATCCAGTAGATAGTTATATAGGCATGGTGTAGACACATGCTGTGAAAAGCATTGTTCCAAACTGGAACTTATGATGTGTGTGCGTTTACAAATCAAGACACTTACTAATTTGGAACACTTGCTACTGTAACAACTGAAGGATTCCTAAAACCATCAAAATACAGAGTTGTCCCACCACTGTCCACCAGAAGCATCAGGTAGTGCCAGTTCCTGTCCTGTACCCCAAGCTGATTCAGTATGGACATATCAAAGGAGATGTACTGATCAGTGATGTTGATGCCGCTACTGTGAGCCTGCAGGAAGACTGTCTTGTTGGCTCCTGTTGTGTTGCTCCTGAAATGAAGAAAATTTATCTAAATTGGCAACAGACACAGTGATCAGAAAATTGAAAACCCAAGAACAAATGATATAAAATTCTACAGATAATACTTCACTCACACAGAACCATATACAGTTAGGAATGTCCCAGTATCCATGACATTTAAAAGCCTGATCCAGAACCCAACAGAAAAAGTGGTGATTCCCAGAGGGAATGGTGCTGCAGTGGATGCCATTCCATTCTTCTTTGAGTAAAAACAAATGGAGAAGTCTCTATCAATGTCTGAAAGGAGAAAAAATGAAATATAAAACTTTATGGCCAGATACAGAATTGCATAGATAATTAATTTTGCTGAGTAATAAGCATATATGACAGTAATGGGCTTCTATGTTAC